TTTGGTCTTTTAGAGACAGGGTCTCCCTGTAGCCCCAGCTGTCCTGAACTCACTATGTAGACCAGGCTGGCCTTGAACTCACAGAGATTCGCCTGCCTCTGCCTCCCAAGTGCTGGGATTAAAGGCGTGCACCACCACGCCCAGTTTAGGAATATATTTTTAAAAGCTATTTACCAAGATAAACACAAGTTAGAACATCAAAAACTATAGGCTCATATTCAGTCAGTAACAATATTTTAAAATTTTAAATAAGACAAAAGTCATCGACTAACAAATCTCAGGCTAGTACTAACAGGCATATCAGTTATGCACATATTTATTTATAATTCATATTTTGGTCTTCAAAAACATATCCAAATATATGTTTCATATTTTATTTTAACATTATCCTGTAGATGAAGGAAATGGCAACTTACCTGTCCTTTAGCAAAGCCACAAAGAAGTCTTGAACAGTCATTGTTGATGCTGAGGGCAGAGATGGCTCCATACTGCCCTCCAACACTAGTGTTACCCAAGCAGAGTCGCAATGCTTGGTTCTGATCTAAAGAAAGCAAGTGACCCAGATATTAAGAATATAAAAAAAGTAAGACCTACAGGGACATAACACTCAAACCCTTCTAATGATGTTCTTAAACCAACTATTCTGCCTCATCCTAGAATTGGTATTTTTGCTATTTCCAAGATGTTAGGTTACAAGAAATGCCACCTTAGTGTGTGTGTGTGTGTGTGTGTGTGTGTGTAACTCTCTATTTGTCTGTGTATGTGTGTATGTGTATGCAGGTGCAGGTGCCCACATATTCCTATGCAGAAACCAGAGGATGATGGGAGTCTTCCTCTATTACTCTCCCCCTTATTTCTGAGACAGGCTCTCCCAATGACTCCGAGGCTCACTGTTCAGCTACACTGGCTGGCCAGCGAGCTCCTGGGATCCACTTCTCTACCCTCCAACATCAGGGTTACAGGCATGTGCTACCATACTCACCTTTTACATGCATGCTAGGGATCTGAGCTCAGGATCTCTGATTTTCACAGCAAGTGCCCTTACCCACTGAGCCATCACCCTAGCCCCAAATGCTATTTTCTTTGAAAATAACTTACAAATTCAAATTTTCTAAATTCAAAATTCTGAATGTATTTAGAATTTAGCTGAAATTACATTGGTATTATTCATATAGAAAAGGTATACTAAGCAAAGGACACTGAAAATAAAATTTTGGAGTAAATGATCAAACTACCTCAGGAAATTGTTTTTAAGCATTTCTAGTGGGTACTCAAACATTTACTCAATTATATCATCTAATAATTAAAAGAAATTGCCCTACTTCACCTAGGTAATGATTATTTTGTGTAGAATTCATGATCATACCCACTTGAAATAATGAGATAAAAAAATTAAATGGAGCTAGAGAGAGAGAGCTCAGCAGATAAGACCACTAGCTGCTCTTCCAGACCGGGGCTAGATTCCCAGAACCTACATGGTGGTTTATAACTGCCTATGACTCTAGTTCTACAGGTTCCAACACCCTCTTCTGATTTACTCAGGCACTGCATGCACATGGTGCACAAACACTCAGGCACACACACACACATAAAATAAGTATTGTTAAAATTTTAGCCTAGAGCTGCCCCCTGCATTAACTCCTTAACCCAGAATTGAATAGTTTTCACATTATAAACCTATCTTCTATAAGGCGGGGCTGGAGAGATGGCTCAGAGGGTAAGAGCACATACTGCTCTCTGGAGGACCTAAGTTCCATTCCCAGCACTCACGTCAGGTAGTTCACAACCACCTATAATTGGACATCTGATGTCTTTGTCCCCTCAAGGACACCTGCACTCATGTGCACATACCCACAGACACACACAGACACAGACATACACACAGAGACACATACCACAGACATACACATATATAATTTAAAACAAAGTAAATCCTTTTTCAAAAGCCGACAGGCATTCATTCTCAGGTACAGAGACTATTAGGTGAACACTCTCTCCCATCCAAAATGAGAGCTGTCAGGCTAGTTTCCTGTGTTCACAAACTCGTTCTCCCACCTCTGCCACCCAAGAGGTCCTCAAACAATTAATGGTCTGTGACATCTGGCACACAAAAAATATACAACAGTTTTATTTTAGCCTTCCAAGACAAATATTCAAAAGAGAATAAACTCATAAATATACAAAGTCTGGTGTGTTTTTAAAACATCACTATTTCATGTCTAGAAGTACACAATTATAGCTTTTCACACACATCCAGACTGACCTCCCCCTATTTTTTTTTTTTTTTTTTTTTTGAGACAAGGTATCCTTGTAGCCCCAGCAGCCCCTGGAACTCACTACAGAGGCCAGGCTGGTCTTGATCTCATAGAGATCTACTTGCCTGTGCTTCCCTCTGCCTGTGCTAGGATTAAAGGTGTCCACCACCAAGGCCGGCCTAATTTTTAAACCTTATTCCGACTTAACCCAAATTATTTAAATGTTTCTTTAGTCTATACTTTTCTTGAATATAATTATAGCATCACATATCTTCTATGCTACTACAATTTCTGCCTATAATAGGGTTTTCCATAGTCCTTACTGTCAGGACTACCTTATACTTTGGTGGACCAGCAATATACTTGAATT